TTTTTGAGATACCAGTACACGTTGTCAGAGGCAACACCGATAGCGAAGGAGGAGATTGCTTGGCAGGTTTAGCTCGCCTTCATTTCATTCTGGAAGTCATGAATGGGATAGAGCNCTTACGGTCACGGACTTTGTTCTGTTGCAGGTATTTTATGACTCCTGACCATGTATGGCAACTGCTCGGACGCCGAGCTCCAACTGAGGAAGAAAAAGAATCCAGTCATCTCCAACGGCCGTGCTCAGTGCTGGTAGCACGCCTTCTGTCGGCAAGTGTCGTGGCCATGGCAGTTTTTGTGCTGTTGCTACCAATGCAACGTCTTGCCGAAATGCATATCTTTGTAATCGTTCTCAATTTTCTCCATGTTTTTCTTGTATGTGAACTATCATCTATCATAATGTTCCTCTTTACTGATTCCTGTACTGAGAAAATAAAAGAGGAATAGATGAAGAGGACAGCAGTGAAGAGAATGGGGTGTGGTGCATTAGGAACGAAATGGTCGCGCCGCGGTGAGAGGGGCGTCGCGCGCGAAGGAATGTAGCAGGATGGAGCAGTAGGTAAGAAATACAAGAACAAAAGTACTAATAGTAGAATTATGCATGAAATAATGATCGCATATCGATTGAACTGTATGAAGAACGCTAGAGCTGTAATAACGGCGAATGATGGTCCGCGACAGCTGCGTGCGGCAAATCGATTACCCAAAACCGTTCCTAACGCCCGTCTCCCAAGAGAATGCACTACCCAGCACTATGTTTAGTGGCAGCTGGCCTCCATCCGTAAAGTCTTGTTGAGTGACGATCTTTGAAAATCACCTAAGAAAGATTTTCAAAAAAGAAAGAAAGATTTACAAAGGGTATTCACTATGGAAAGTATCGCGTCCCCAGGAACACGCCGAATGAAGACGCTCACAGACGATAAGTATCGCCTGTGACGGGCATCCGTTAATGGAAGCTCGAGCCAAACAAGCTTTTCAGACGTGAGAAGACGATTGTATCACCATCCTCCTTCGAAAAGCAACTGATCAGCAGAAAATGGTGTACGGTCTAACTTTTCAGGCGGCATGAACTTTATGAACTTCATCAACGACATTTTTGAAGTATAACCAACTAGTCGTGGTAGGTGACGGAGTTTCATTTCTAGTAGCTTATGAAAATGGTAATAAGCGAAATTTCGTTTTGAAAATTAATGACAAACCAGTTCTATTGACTCCTTTCCTCTCTTGAATCTTCAGGAGTACTGGATTTTTTCTTACAAAAATTGCATAATTTTTGAGATACCAGTACACGTTGTCAGAGGCAACACCGATAGCGAAGAATGAGGTTGCTTGGCAGGTTTAGCTCTCCTTCATTTCATTCTGGAAGTCATGAATGGGATAGAGCTTACCTATACAAACGATGGCTTTGGATGACACACTATTTGTTTGTTCTAGTGCTCAAACCAGCTCTCAGAAGACCTTTTCGTCGAGAATACTAACGCCCATGTTGGTTGCTTAACGTATTTTTGAATGTATGACTAGTAACACATTACTTCTGGGAGAAGACCACCCCTAAAAAGAGGTTTGGGACGTCGAATGTTAAAGAAAAATTTCACAATAGTTCTAGATGAGTAGTTTCGGACAACAAATGGAAGTGACAGTCCAGAGTGGTGTAACAATGACGACAAAAACGTGTAAATTGATACATCCAGAGAAATATAAGGTAAAAAAGTAAAACTAGGGGTTGGACGAAAAGTGATGGCAAAAGTTGAGCGGAAGTGGTGTTTGGACGAGTTGTCTGAATTTGTGTGCCATACAGCTGGCTACAGTATTTTTTTAAATTAAAAGATTAACATAATAACTGTGATGGTTACTGTGTAATGGTCAAACATCTAAAAGCCCTGCTATTGGATCAATTAGATTTAATTTAAAGGCACAGATCACGGTAACTTCGGGTAATCCAGATTATGATGAAAAATGGAAGACAAGATCGAAACT